CAAGAGAAAAAGCACTTGAGAAAGGAAGGGCTTAGGCTGGCTCATGGTCTGAGGGCCTGTCTCTCATGGTAAAGAAGGCATGGGGTCAAGAGTCTGAGGCACTTGACAGCATTGTAAATACAGTCAGTGTCTTAGTTAGGGTTTCTATTGCTGCGATGAACCACCACCAAAGAGCAAGTTGGGGTGAAAAGGGGTTATTAGGCTTACACTTCAACATTGCTGTTTATCACCGAAGGAAGTCAGGACAGGAACTCAAACACGGCAGGATCTTGGAAGCAGGAGCTGATGCAGAGGCCATGGAGGGATGCTGCCTACTGGCTTGCTTCCCATGGCTTGCTCAGTCCACCTTCTTGGAGAACTCAGGACCACCAGCCCAGGGACAGCACCACCCACCATGGGCTGGGGGCCCTTCCCCATGGGTCACTAATTGAGAAAATGCTGGATTTGAGAATTTCAGAGGACATTTCCTTGGAAGTTGGCACTGGGGAGCCTTGCGTTAGTTGAAGTTATAGGGCATTATTTATAATTACATAAGCCTTCCTCGGGGCAGACTAACATTGACTGTGGGAGATTGTTGGCAGCAGAAGCTGGCAAGACAAAGATGCCTAGCAACATGGGGAAGGCATTGTGTAAAACAGACTTAACTGACAGGCTAAGTGCCCCAAGAGATAAGACTTACTTTGCCCAGATAAAGAACCCACAGAACTTAAGCGGCCACTTGACACAGACAGTTGAAGTTGACCAGCAGGTGGTATCAGCCTCCAAGATGGATCTAATGTTTCTCATGTCCTAGCAGTTGTTTCTCTGAACAGTCTCTTCCCGCACAGACAGGGATGACTTTGATAACCAATAAGATATCACAGCAGTGAGGAACCATGACTTCCAAAGCTAGAACATCAAAGAAATGCTGGCCTGTCTTTTGCTTGTTTCTGTTATCACTGGGTAGAGAGGACCACACCGGGAAACCGCTGCCAACAAATACCAACTTGCTGGATCTGTGAGTGGGTTATCTGGGAACTGCTTCTCAGCCCAGTCACTTTCTCAATGACTGGGGTCCCTCTCGGCACAGGAAGTGGTGCCACCTTGGGACTTTGTGGAATCCTTACAAACAAGAAAGCTTTTTTTTTTTTTTAAACCAAATGTGGCTTCTTGACATTGGACTTCCTACCTTCTAAGAACCATGAGCCAAATAAATCTTAATTCTTTCTAAAGTACTCAGTGTATAGCAATGGTAAACATGTGGGAAAACTGGATAGCTCAGGCCAAACATTTAGAAGGCTGGCTATCATGTGTGACCTCCTATCTAGACTCAAGCTGCTGAAATACTCCTAAATTCTGAGTCATAGAATCTGCACGAAATAGACATTTTTAAAAACACATCTAAATCTTGGTACCACTTGTCCTTAGCAGTAGATAATTTGCACATGCCTTGGGATCCAGAATTAGGATATTGTAACACTGAAAGTACAAATATGGGATTGGATCTAGTGAGCAGAGTCTGGAGAGGAGGCTGAGAGGGTGCGGCGAGGTGCTTATGCTGATTGTTGCTAAGCAACCGCTTCCCCATCTGAGAACGAAAGTACCACTGCCGCCCTGTAAGTCCACCTCTGCATCTTCACTGAAACTCCAGAGGTTCTCACTACAACCAGAAATAAGGAGAGAGTAGAATCTATGGCATAGGGATAAACATGGGTGTGCAAGTGTCTCTCTAGTCAGATGTGGAGTCCTTTGGGTGTATGCTCAGGAGTTGTCCAGCTGGGTCATATGGCAGTTCTGTTTTTATGCTTTTGAGAAGTCCCCACACTAATTTGTACAGTGGCTATACTAGTTTATACTCCTACCAATAGTAAGTTCACTCCCACCAATAGGGAGTAAGTTCACTTTTACCAATAGTGAGTAAGTCTGTCTTTCCTGCATCCTCTTCAGTGTTTTTTGTCATTTTTTTTCTTGATGGTAGACATTCAGCTTGGGATGAAATGGCATCTCAAAGTTTTGATTTGCATTTCTGTGATGAGTAGAGATGTTGAACTCTTGAAAATATTGGCTATTTTTACTCTTTTGTGGTCTGTTCATTGATCCATTTACTGATCAGCAATGTTTTTATATTTAAAATTTGCAGTTCTTTATATATTCTAGATATTAACCCCTGTCTGAAGTATAGCTATGAAAGATTTTCTCTTATTTTGTAGGTTAGCTGTTCATCCTGTTGATAGTTACTTTGGATGTGCAGAACCTTTTAATATCAAGTAATCCCACCTGTCAATTCTTGGGGCTATATTTTTATATCACCATATCTTGTACTATGGGAGTTCTTATCTATGACTATAACCATCAAGTGTTTTTCTCAGTGTTTTCAATTTTAAATTACAGTCTCGAATCTAATTGAGACTTATTTTTGCTCATGGTGAGAGAGGGTCTAATTTCATTCTTCTGCAGGTATGTGTCTAGTTTTGGCATCACCATTTGTGGAAAAGGCCATCTTTTTCCCTATGCATATTTTTTAATATCTTTATCAAAAAGAAGTTGTTATAGTTATATGGGGTTTTCTCTGGGTTTTCTAGTATCTTCCAGTGGTCTTGGTCTACATGTCTGTTTTTGTGCTAGTAGCAGGATGTCCTAATCACTATGGCTCTGTAATATGCTTAGAATTCAGGTAACATGAGGCCTTCAGCTCTGTTCTTTCTGTTTACAATCATATTAAACACATGCGGTCCTTCGTGTGCCCATCTGAATTTTGGGATTTTTTTTCTGCCTGTGAAGAATGTCATTGGAACTTTGATGGGGATCACATTGAATCTGTAGATTGCTTTTGCTAGTATATGGCCATTTTCACAATGCTAACCCAGGACCATGGAAGGCAACTGCATTCTATAAGTCTTCTTCCATTTCTATTTTCATCACTTAAAGTTTTTGTTGTTAGAAATCTTTCACCTTCTTGGTTAGGTTTATTCTCATATCTTTTTTTGAGAATATTGTGAATGGAATATTTTTCCTTATTTCTTTGTCAGCAAGTTCATTATTGGTATATATAAAGGCTACACACACACACACACACACACACACACACACACACACACACACACACACAAACACACACATTGTCTAAGTGTTTATCAGCTCCAAAAGATTTTTTTTGTGGAGTCCATGTGACTTTTCAGTGTAGAATTATGTCACTTTAAAATAGGAGGAGTTTAACTTTGAAAGAGTTTAATGTTTTCTTTTTAAATTTTTATACATTTTATTCGTCTCCTTTGTCTTATTGCTCTACTTAAAACTCATGCAATATATTGCGTAAGAGTGGAGGGAGTGGATGCTCTTGTCTCATTCCATATTTCAGAGGAAATGTTCTCAGTCTCCCCCCCCCCCCGTTCCCCCCAGTTGATGTAACATTGGCTATAGGTAAGCAGTATATAGCCTTTATTGTATTGAGGTATATTTTATCTACTTAACTTCCTTCAAGACTTTTATCATGAAGCTATGCTGAACTCTGTCAAATGCCTTTTATGCATTTATTGGTATGATCCTGTGATTTCTGTCTTTAAGCATATTAATATGATATTGCATTTGTTTATTGGTATATGTTGAACCAACCTTGCATTCCTAGTCTGAACTGTCTGTTTGTGGTCCTTTTATGTGATCCTGAATTCCCTCAGTGGGCATCTTGGTATCAGGATTATTTTGTCTTCACAGGATGTGTTTGGTAGTGTTCCTTTGTGGGATGGTTTGAGAAGGGCTGGTATGAGATCATTCTTGAAAGTCTGGTAGAATTTAGCAATATAGACACTCGCCCCGGTCTTCTCTTTGTGGGGATGTTTTTAATTACTGCTTTAATGTCATTGCTTGTTACAGCTCTGTTCAGGTTCTCTCTTCTGGATCTAATTTCAATAGGTTATAGACATTTGGGAATTTGTCCATTTCTTGTAGCTTTTCCAAGTTGTGGTAGTACAAGTTTTCAAAGTATCCTTTGATGATCTGAATTTTGTTGAAATCTATTGTAAAATCTTTTACAGCTCCCATTTTATTCATTTGCATCTTCTTGCTCTTTTGGTTATCTTGTCTAGGGCTTGATAAGTTTTGAAAATCTTTTCAAAAAAATCAACTCTGTCTTGTTAACTCTATGTTGGTTTTGTTTTTTTAAATCTTCTCCCATAATTTTGTCTTCTGCTGCATTTGGGGTTTGGCTTCTTCTTGCCCTTTAGAGCTTTGAGGTGCAGTGTTATTTTAGATCTCTCTGATTTTTAAGGCATGAGCAGTCATATCGATAAAGTTTGCTCTTAGAACTGCCTTAGCTAGATCCCAGAAGTTCTCTGGCAGGCCGTGTTCTCATTTTTATTTGATTCTAGAAGTTTTAAAAATTTCCTCTCTGATTTCTTCAATAGGCCACTGTTCATTCAGAAGTGTGTTGGGTAGTCTCTGTGTTTTTGTGTACAGTCTGAGTTCATCTTGCTGCTGATTTAGTTTTACTCCACCATAGTCTCATAGGGTACAGGGGATTATGTCCTGGAATTCTTAGAAGATCGTCCGTCCATTCAAGAACCCCAGCTCTACCTGCACCAGGCAAACAGGCTGCTATTATGTGGATGTCCCTTCCTAAACTCCTGTGGACAGTAAATTGCTAAACACATTGGGAGGTAGGAGCTTTGCCAGGTGGCCTTTGATGGATTACGGCCATTATTGTGGGAGTGGCTTTGTCACAAAAGCGTTCTCACGCTCCTGCTGCATCTCTCCTGTGCATGCTCGTCCTTTCACATGATGGCCTCAATACACACATGATATCATTTTCTTTATACATTAACTGGCCTATCAGAAGTCAATCATGGACCAAGGCAAGGTTCTAAGCGCAAGCTCTCCCCGACAGGATTAGTCTGAGGGGTATGGGTGGCTTCCAGCAACACAGCAAGACTAGTTAAGGATCAGAATTTACTGAGTTGAGAATTCATAAAAGGTAACATCATACAGTCAGTCACTTCTTGGGTTTAGTAAAAATGATTGCCACTCACTGTGCATCACAAAAATTTCTTTTAATGAATAAATAATTTGATGAAATCAAAAAATATTTACAATATAAACAAATGGAAAAGCTTTGGATCTGTGACTCTCACCATGTTACATTTCTGAACGGAGGCCTCCCCAGCTTTTCTCTTTGAATCATACAAATGCGCTAGAAACAACAACTCATACACTGTGTCTTTGTTCATTACATCTTTATCTGTTAGTCCTTGAAAGCTATATAATCTTATATTATGCAACATGTTAAAATACAAATATTAACTAAAAGAATATATTATCATAATGCCAGGTAGCATTCTCCACAGAACAAAACATACACTCAGTTGTAACAATGACAAAGGGTCACGGCCACAAAAAAAAAAAAAAAAACAAACAAACCCAAAAGTACAAATTCCTTCATAAGAATATAATTGTGCTCTTCAGTTGACCAGATGTCTGTGCTGCTCTAACAGTGCCAGTGGCGAGGAGAACAGTCTCTGGTGACTGTCTGCTGTGTTTTGGTCACGCAGCAGCATTACAGGGAACTGGGCAGTGCAAGCAGTTTTAGAAACACTTTCTTGGGCTCTTAAAAAGAGCCAATTATGCAAAGCAAGAATAAGCATACTGACAATTCTTCATCTCATTGCCACAGAACGTCTTGACTTTGTGGTAGGAAGATATTCCTCTGCAGAGCTGTTGATGCTGTCAGCCAGAATTCAAGTACTCCAGGGCCACCTCATAGCAGAACTTGTACTGATCCTAGAAGAGAAAGTGAGGATGTCAGCAGACATCTAACCTCTGCTTCTATTAGGGAAATTACAGCAGATGAGGGTTCTTAATTGCAAGACATAAAAACAATAAAGCTTTGAGCTAGAAATGAATCAGAATGGAGCAGTTTTGAGCCACAGAGCACCCACTGTTGATGCTTCCCTACAAAGCCTCCTAGACAGAATTCCAGTATCTGTGTGCATTAGCACCCTGGAAAGTCCTGTGCAGCTGAAGATGCTTGGGTTCTGCATGCAATTTACTATCAGAAAAAGAATTGCATCTGTAGTGAACAAGTAAGTGTTTTTTTTTTCTATTCCATAAACAACAGGGTACATTAACTATCTGCACGGCATTTCTAGTCTCTATTCTAAGTCATCTAGAGGTGATGGAGGTACATGGAGGATGTGTTGGGTATATGCAAACTATGCCATTTTATATAAGAGAATGGAGTGTCTGCAAGGAGTGAATCCTGGAACTAAGACCTCATGGTTAACAAGAGATGAAGGTATGCTGTTCCTATATGTCTTACATGGGTATTAACAATTGAACCTTGTGCAGGAAGATCAAGAGGTAGACGGGGAGACCAGGAAGGCTGAGGGAAATGCCTGCATGGACTATCCCCAACAGGCTTGTCGATAAGGCTTTTCTCTGGCCCTGCTTTTTCTTGAAGTTTTAGTCAGCAGGATTTCTTGAACGTCACAAGACTTGACTAAGGTTCTTTTAAGTATCATGCACCTTACCATGACCCCTGACTTTGAGAAGTTTGTGATCTAGGGGAAAGGGTAAAACAGGTACCCGAGTGTTAGCACATAAGACAGAATGGTTCCCTGACATGGACTTCGGGTTCACTGGAGATGAGGACAGATCTTCTTGGGAAGGGTGGCACAGGATGGTTCAAATCTGAAATCTCCATCACAGGTTCATCTTTTGAATTCTTAGTCTCCAGCTGGCAGCACTACTTTGGAAGGTTTTAGACAGTGGGAGGTAGTGTCTAGATAGAGGATGTAACTCACTGGCAACAGGTGCTCAGGGGAGATGTTATCACTACCCATTTAATATCTTGGTCTGGGCTTCCTGATCAACTAAAATGGAATGGCCCCTGTCACATGCTTCTGCTGTCAGGATTTGTGTGGCTCCGCAATGCCTTCTTTGCCATGATGGATGGAAAACCTCTGTAATCCTCTCTTCTTTAAGTTACATCTGTAATTCAGGGGCCCAAAGATCGATGCAGCTAGGGGAGGGGACTCAAATTCTTGGTTCTGTCTGTAGTTTTGATTTCTGCCATTGTTATTACAAGCATCCTTTTGGGCTCTGAGATGCTCTGCTTTAGATGATAAAAAAAAATGACCATTTAAAGTGGGATTAAAACAGACCTTCCAGGTAAAGGCAAAAGGAGAATAAGAGACACATGAAAATGTTTGATATCTTCTGGGAAGCACATGTCAGTTCTTTAACAGTTTCAGTGAGTTGAAAAAATAAAATTGGGTGCACATAGAGTGACAATCATCCCCTCTTAGGAACAGTCAGGTCTTCATACAGTTGTATCTGTGGATATCGCTATGCATAAATAAAATGCTGATTGGCCAGTAGCCAGGCAGGAAGTATAGGCGGGATAAGGAGAGAGGAGAATTGTGGGAAGTAGAAGGCTGAGTCAGGGAGACACTGCCAGCCACCACCATGAAAAGTGAGATGTAAGGTACTGGTAAGCCATGAGCCACGTGGCAAGATATAGATTTATAGAAATGGGTTAATTTAAGATAGAAGAACTAGATAACAAGAAGCCTGCCACGGCCATACAGTTTGTAAGCAATGTAAGTCTCTGTGTGTTTACTCGGTTGGGTCTGAGTGGCTGTGGGACTGGCAGGTGAGAGAGATTTGTCCTGACCATGGGCCAGGCAGGACTGGAGAAAACTCCAGCTATAAGTTGTTGTCTTTAAAGTCTTTCCCCATGTATAACCTAGCTAACTGCTGCTTGCTTATTAAACCTTAGAATTTCATTTTTCTATCTTTTAACTTCCTGTGGTGTGCATTTATGAATGAGATGATAATATTGGATAATCTCAAAATAACCCCCTTTACCCCATCTGTTTGTTCTAATTAGGGAACCAAGTCCATCTACATTCATGGGTATAGTTGATCAGTAAGGATGTACTCGTGTCATCTGGTTGATTTTCTTCTGGGTGTTTTAAAGAGTCTTTGTGTTTCTCTTCCTTCTTCTCCTTGTTGACCTGGAACATGGTGTGTTCCTGATCTTGAACTTGAAATCCTTCTACCTCTATGAGAGTTGGGGTTAAAAGCCTGTGCCACCATACCTGTCTCTTCAGGTTTTTCTTTCTTGTTCATCTTTGTGATTAGATATAGATCATACAGATAATAACCCAATTCCTTTACACTTCTCATTTGCAGACCTATTCTATTGGGATTCATCACTTTCATGATGGTAGTTATTTTTTCATTCACATCTGGATGTTGAGTCCACTAAGCATCTTTTGTAAGGCCAGCATGGTGGTCATGAGTCCCTCAGTCTGATTTTCTTTGAAGCATTTTATTGCCATTTACGAATGGTAGCCTTGCTGGGTACAGGATTCTTGGTTGGCAGTTACTCTCTGAATTCCAGGAATGGATTTTTTTTTTATTTATTTTTGCAGGGTGGAGGGGTGTGGTGTGGCAGATAGGTAAAGGATAACATATAGAGGGAGTCAGTTCTCTCCTTCCACCACGTGGGCTCTGGGGATGGAACTCAGTTGTCAGGCCTCGGCAGCAAGTGCCTTTACCTGTTGAGCCCACTCTCTAGCTTGGTAGTTATGCTGCAATGTTGGCCTTATCTCTCTGCATGGGCACCACAGTGTAGAAGCCTCTATAGATAGAGCATATTTGGCTGAGATGGATTACCTTTAGCCTAGCATAGACCATGACAGTCAGAGAGACCCACTGTCTCTGGTGGCCACACAAGAATAGAGATACTTTAGTCGTGTAAGTAGGTGTGGTGTAGACAGCAGTGGGTATGGGCACTCTGTGTGTAGCTACTACTGGAGGAACAGTAGCTCCAACTGGTGCCACAGATGTTCCCCCTGGCACTGTAGAGACCCAGCACCAGCAACTGCTTCTGGTTTTGGAGGTGGGAGCAGTGATGGGACCCATGCAGCCCTCTGTGGTGCCCACACAGTACTGACAGCAGCCTGTGGGATGTGGGTGGATGGGAAGTACCCTGTAAATCTGTCCTCCGTCCAATGACCTGCGTTTCTCTTTGCGGTTGCTTTTTTAAACCCATGGACTGGAAACACTATTACTCACCCTCCACAAAGTTCTATTTCTGGTTCATAGGCTAAGATTGATTATTTTAGCGCTAGATGCTTTTATTTTCAGAATGTTTAAAAGAAGCAATTTGAATTTCAGAATTCTAAAAGGCCGTATTGTCGGATTGCCAGGCTGACAAATTGGCCACCAAGTGCTCCAATCATCTCTCCAGTTTCTGTGAATCCTAGGGGTGATTTTTTTTTTCAAAATGGAAATGTAATCCCTCATTGCATAAAAATGATTATTTTCAGATCTAACTGTGCAATTAGTTTCAGTGACTACCACAAATGGTCCTTTTAACATATTCAAACACAGCTAGTAGGAACTTGTGGCTGCTGGCCTCAGGTCAGGACAAAAGGTGGAGACTCATGGAGGATTTTAGGTTTCTCTGCTAAGATGCTGTGACCCAGCAGTCCCCAGAGCGTCCCCGTCTGAGGGATGACTATAATTTTCAAAATGAGTTCCCCTTCTCTCATCTCATCCATCCTGAGCAAGCTGCCAATCCCCACAGATTCTGTGATGACCAGTTTCTGAATCATAAAAATAAGGGGAAGGCAGAGAAAGGCCACAGATTGCTGTGTCTCCTCCTCCAAGCCCCTGGGTAAATGCCTCAAATCTTCCTGCATTGGAAACTGATTATGCTTGATCACCAGGTACAGCTCTGTCTTCTGCAGATTTCTCCCTCAGCTCCCCTGCTTCTGAATGGTATAATTAAGCCACATGAGCCATCCCGGGGTTTCGTGGGTACATTCAATGCACCTTGGTCCTGAGTTTTCCCAGCCCAGACCTTAGCTGCTGGTGGCAGGCGTGGAGTGCTTGGTCTGGAACAGAGGTTCAGCAGGGTCCCATTCCCATTAGGGCCGCTTGCTGTTCCTCTCTAGACTGATTCTGATGGGCAGTGGCCCCTATGAAGAGGGAGAAGTGACTTCTGGAATGGAACCGAAAGCTGAGGTCATTCTTTAAAACGTCCTGGCAGGTGGCCGGTTGAGTACGGGAGTTATAAGGGCTCCTGAGGGCAATTCTGAGGCACTGTGGGAAGGCTAGCACTCTTTGTCAGCACACATTGACTGTGCTAGAGGAGCTGAGGGGGGCGCCTCAGTCAGTCTGGGCGCACCAAACACTGCATGTCAGTTGCTCAAGATTCAAAGAGAACAGTCTGCTCAGCTTACTTGAAGCAAACCTCCCTCCCTGAGGTCCCTGTCTGAAACTCTGATAGGTTTCCCAATGGCAACAGGACACTTCAGGCTGGAACCATCTTCCTGCTAGGAAGCTGAAGTGGTCGCTGTGTGCAAATAACTGTGGGTGGGTGGTGATGGTTGGTTCTCAGCAGGTCACATTGGTGACTGTCCCCTCTGTACTAAGGAGACTCGTCCATCCTCACCACTACTCAAAGGACAGGGCTACAGAGAGTCAGACCTTGTTGTCATGCTTCAGAAACAAAATGGCTACATATCACACTGGACTTGGAAACGGCCGCCGAGTCAGGGCCCAGTTTTCCTGAGCTGATGTGAAGTAAGGGCGAATCTGGTACCTGACCCTGAGCCGCCTCGTGGGCTCTACTTTTCCTGCCTGTTAACTCTGTTTTATGGGATGGGCATTGCCCACGCCAGACTCATAAATTAAATTATCTGTAATTTTGACACAGTTCAATGGTTTTCAATATTTACAGAGTTGAGCACAAGGTAAATTCCAAC